TAATAATTGGTCGTGGCAGGATGAAGATGCCGTAAAAGCCTTCCCATGGAGCACGCGGTGGGCGTTCACCGGGGCCTTCAGCTGCTGAGGGCGTCGCGGTTGGAAATGCGACAGCGTGATCCAGCGTGAGGAAAAGAGCTTGGAAGGCCCGTGAAAAAGAACGTGAATATGTGTGCAACAGTCCCCTCGAAGTGAAACGTCATTTAATCCATTTGGGCTACAGTGCTTAAAAACAGTAAAACGAGCAAGTTTCTTGAAGATGTGGTTCTTCTCTTTTCTGTCTCGATTTTTTCCTCAGAACCTGTCCATGCCCGTGAACCAGCTGCCTTTGTCCCCTCACTAGCCCCTCCTGCTGACAGTTCTGCTAACCAGGATAATACCAAACCAGTAATCAGAGAGGCAACCAGTATTTTTAAAATACATGGTAAACACATTTTCCAGAACACTTCCTAGGTTTCAAACAGATTTTTTAAAACAATTTGCAGTGTGAATGATGCATTTTGAAGAGTACTATAACTGAAGTTATACAGAGGAGAAAAGCTTTCCTTTGCAAGGCTGACTGAAACCAGTTTCATTGTTTTTCCGTGGTCTTTTGACCCCGTTGCTTCTATCAAGTAAAGGTAAAACATCGAGGTGTTGCCTTGCGTTCACAAATTGCAACTGATGTAATTGACTGTCAGATGTAAAATGATGATCTAATGTAAACATGACAAGGGCTGTAGTTTGCTTTATGACTGAAATGATCATAAAATGTCCGCACCACCAAAATTAGCAGCCTTACCCTGCTTCCCCAGTGCCAATCCAACCCACAACTAGGCACTCATTCAAGGCCAGGCGGGGGTAGTCTTGTCCTTCTTTCCACATCGGTGAAGATACGGTTCCCATTCCCAGCGGTCTCATATAGTCCCATTCCCATTTTGTAAACAGGAATAGTCACTTATGCCTGGTTTTTAAAGTCTCCACAATCATTAAAGAACTGCGGAGATGATAAGGTGTGGTTTTATCAATTATTTTGCAAGTCATTCTTTACAAGGTTATACTAAAAGCACACAGCCAACCGAAAGAGGCACTTGTGCTCTCATTCAGTTTTCGTTGAGACAAGCTGCCAAATGTGCCTCAGTACAAGCTGTATTGGACTGCACCAGTATTATGGAAAAGAGCTTCTTTGACTGTTAATAGTACACATAACATTACAGCAAGTGTTTTACAGGGTCTATAAGGGGATTTCAAATTCTGTGTTGATCCTAAAATCAGCAGAAGTAAAACAAACAAACTCCTGAAATTATCTCCTATAAGTGTAATAATTTCCCTAATCCAAACCATAATTTCCATTCCAGATGAAAGGAAATTTTCTATTTCAGATAAGAGGCTACTGTGAGGAGAACTGAGCTGCAGGGAGGTGTATATTTATATGACACCTGATAAGTAAGATGAACAGAGGTGATCTGTTGATAAAAGTCTTCAAACCAGACTGATCACACTCCAAGGCACATGCTTTTCTGTCTTTCTAAAACAGACACACAAAAGGAAAATGATGAAAATAAAAGTATGAGAGGTTACCACCTGCTTTTTTAATGTGATGTGTTATTTCTTGTTTGCTACAGCACTGCCCAGCTGATCCAACAGGTCACATATCCAAGCAAAACTAAGCTCTTGATGTTAATATAACCCTTTCCAAACTGTGTTACGTGTATCACAAATATATGCCGGACAATTTTGTAGCAGTATTTGAACTAGAACAACGCCAGGAGCTGCCACCAAGAGCGTTCTCAGCAGTAAAATGTTTGCAAAGCCTTGACCTTGTGCTGAAGGGATTAAAAGGGACTTTAGTAGAAGTGGCATTACCTAATAGTTGCTGTGCATTTAAAAAAAATTATAGTGCTTATCCATTGTGTAAATTAACTGAAGCAGAGAGTCTTGCATCTCCATACAAAGGGGTTAGCTCCTGATAGGGGCTGGGAGTCAACTAGAACTGGTTAAGACCGACCCTGCTGTATGGATGGGAGCCAGGAGAGAACTGAGTTTGGGCAGAAACAAAGGTCAATCAGTGAATGGGCCTTCGTCTTGGGACCCCCGACGACCACCACCAGGAGGCACTGCGCAAGTGCAACTGGGAGGAGTCTATGGCAATTACTCCTTGGAACTGATTTTAATATGGAAATTACTTCTTGGAACTGATTTTAATATGAAGCAGGATAGGTTATGCATAGGTATAGGCGTACTGGTCAATCTAATGCATATGTAATACTTGATTGTATAAGTTGAAGAGACAAGTTGCTGCTTGGCGCGCACAACTTTGGTGGGACTGCCCCCCGTGCCACCCGGCACCGAATAAACATACCTACTTTACAGTCTTACAAATTGTGGAGTCTGCTTTCCGCACGTCAGTGCATTCTGTGAAATCTCTATACAGACATAACTACCAAAAAGCTTGATATTCATCTATTTTAAGTTTGTCTGAAAATACTGTTTATTATAGAATCATTAAATATTTCTTTTGACAAATTCATCTTCTCAGTTAAGTAACTTTGCATACATTTTCTTTGCATCTAGAAGTGAGTTTAACATTTCATTTATTAACTTTGAAGTGAAACAGTTCAGCACCTTCTAAACACAAGCCTGCAAAATTCACAATGGTTTCAAATGTCAAACAGCTCCTCCAAAATGTGGTGTTTTTTTTTTTCAAATCCATTTGTTCAACTTTCCCTGTGAAAATGTGCTAAGATAATAAGCTTTAGAAAAACCAAAGAAATGTATATGCTGTGTAAAGATATGTAAAGATCTGCTAGAATCTAAACAGCTAAAATGTGGGTAATTCTAGCCTGGGCAAGATAGTGAAGCTCTGGGAAAGTTTCTGCTTTTGTTCCTGGAGTTGATGATTAGGACAGAGTTTTCACCTCTCTCCAATTCTTTGTCCGTCAGACTAGATAAATTTGGTTTTGCTTCTCAGTTCCTGAAAACTAAGTGGAATGAGCTTCTACATACAATGCCAGACACATTCCTGGAATAAGATGAAAGTGAATGTGAAAACTTTTTGGACTCCTATCAGCTGTGACTTTCTGTATTTGTACTGTCATTTACCGGCTGCTAGCCCTTAGCAGTAACTGGTGATTGATGAAAGCAACCTTCCTGGTAAAGCCTTTGAGATGTCCCCAGAGATTTCCTTCCTGCCTCCCAAGTCTATTTTCTCCCTACCCACAACAAACGTTATTTTAATTATTTTGCCTGCAGAAAAATGAGGGGCAGAAGGAAGGGGGTAAGTTCTGCTTCATTTTCTGCAAAAAAAAAAAAAAAATCACTGTTATGTAGCAGCATTTTCCACTTGCTTCGTTAACAACGGCAGGGGGAGCACGCTCTGTTTGGGGCTCTTCCCTGACTCCCCTGTCCCACCACCATCGCCTTTCTGAATATTCCTTACCACAGCAGCTTAAGGTGCAAAGAAAGGTGAATAGAGAATTGTGGAGGAAAGGGAGGGCAAGAAACAGCAAGGGAAATGTGAGTGTCCCTCTTGCACTGGAAAGGGATAGGATAAACAGCTGGAGAGATAGGCGGCGGAAAGTGGAGAAATGCACGTATACTTCCCGCTGCCAGGAAACAAAGATGTCCAAAGTATTCTGTCACTGAAGACCCTTTCCATCATGGAAACCAGAAGCACCCTCCTTTTTGTGGCATCCACACCACATCCAGTAAAATAATTTGTCAATACCTAAGTCATGTTAGAACTACAGTACTGTAAAGCAAAATAAGAACAACTAACAGTGACACACTTACAGAGATGTTTTTGGGTTTTATGCAAGTCTAATTAAAATACAATAATCCTACAGATATTTCTAAGCTGTTATAAAGATATACTGCTTGGTAGTACTGAAAACCACGATACTTTACAGCTGGTGGAACAAGGCCACTTTACTGTTCTGCCAATGGAGAGTACCTTTTGGAAAAGATGCTAGGCAGACTCCTCTTACGTCGTGATTTTTTTTTTTTTTTTAGCAGCTGGGTATGTCATGCATGGGTATCTGTTTGTTTTCAAACTGGTACAGATGAAACAGAATCTCGCATTATAGCTGGTGGACAATGGTTCCCTTTCAGCAGGCACATACCAGAGAAAAACCTGGACAGTTTTTCTCAGTTAGTGAACACGGTAACTGAATGAGCCAAAACACCAAACCCAGAGCTGTGAATGCCCAGGTGACCGTGGTGCAGTGTCCACCTCCACTTGCAGGTCTGAGTACACTTCTCTGCCTCATGCCAGCTCTCTGAACCAAGCTCCATCTCTCACAGGACTGGTAATATTCCTTAGCCTCATATCACCTCCCCTCCCCACAGTTTCTCGCCACTTCTATGTATGTCCTGCAATGGCAGGACAATGTCTCTGACATGCACCATATTAACATTTTTGAACAATGCAGGCATTCAGTCTCCCTGTAGCCCAATTACACCTCCAGGCATTACTGATTACATTCAGTCACAGTGTACGCACAAGCTGCAACAGCCTTGCGAACATGAGAACAGCACATGGAGGCAGTTGTCTGAAAGAAAGCTGTCCATGATGAAGCAGAATCACACACTGGTCGGGGTTGGGAGGGACCTCTGTGGGTCATCTAGTCAAACACCCCTGCCGAAGCAGGGTCACCTACAGCAGGCTGCACAGGCCCTTGTCCAGGCCGGTCTTGAATGTCTCCCGAAGAGACTCCACAACCTCCCTGGGCAGCCTGTTCCAGTGCTCCGTCACCCTCAGAGGGAAGAAGTTCTTCCTCATGTTCAGACGGAACTTCCTGTGCCTCAGTTTCTGCCCATTGCCCCTTGTCCTGTCACTGGGCACCACTGAAAAGAGTCTGGCCCCATCCTCCTGACACGCACCCTTAAGACATTTGTAGGCATTTATAAGGTCCCCTCTCAGCCTTCTCCAGGCTAAACAAGCCCAGCTCCCTCAGCCTCTCCTCGTAGGAGAGATGCTCCAGTCCCCTTATCATCTTTGTAGCCCTCCTCTGGACTCTCTCCAGTAGCTCCTCATCTTTCTTGAACTGGGGAGCCCAGAACTGGACACAAAAGAAAAGAAAGGTAGCTCTTTTCAAACGTGTTGAAAGGCGAGTCACGCTGATCTAGCAGTGAGTCAGACTGTGGGAGCCAGAGATTTCTCCCCCTCTACCTGAATACTGCGCCCTAACCACAAGCCACTAAGTCATTTCAGTAGCAATAGCTCATGCCTTACGCGTTGGAGGTGATTGCAGCTGAAAACCTTACTGCATGGTGCTAGCCTATTTAGTGACCGATGGATGGGTTTGCCTCAGTAGTTCATTCGCACTGCACGGCACTGTGGAGCGGTAGAAACACACCGTGGCTTTGCAAACGGAGCTTAGGCTTGTGCCTTCCACTGCTCTGTTTACACTCGATGACACATTGTCCTTTCTGTCATTGTAGGCTTGCCTTTCCAGCTCCTCCCAGCTGGAGAACATTGGCTGAATAATTGTAAACAGCTGAAAGCAAATCGGAGGGATCGGTCTTGAAAGGGTTCTACTCCTCCAGCTTGAGACAGGCTCAAGGCCACTGCAGAGTGAGTTTAGGTTGTAACAGGCCCATTCAAGAAAGATGAAGCAGGCTCCTTGGTTATACATCAGAACTTCTGGTTAGGGCTGTTCAGCGTGGAGAAGGCTCCACGGAGACAATATTGCAGCTGTCCAGTACCCGAAGAGGGCCTACAGGAAAGGTGGAGAGGGACTTTTTACAAGGGCCTGTAGGGATAGGACAGGGGGTAATGGCTTTAGACTGAAAGAGGGGAGATTTAGGTTAGATATAAGGAAGAAATTCTTCACCATGAGGGTGGTGAGGCCCTGGAACAGGTTGCCCAGAGAAGCTGTGGCTGCCCCCTCCCTGACAGTGTTCAAGGCCAGGTTAGATGGGACTTTGAGCAACCTGGTCTAGTGGAAGGTGTCCCTGCCCATGGCAGGGGGGTTGGAACTAGGTGATATTTGAGGTCCCTTCCAACCCAAACCGTGCTATGATTCTATGTTTGTGTGTTTCAGTAATTTGAAACAGCTATAACTGCAGTGAAGATAATCTTGCGGTTCTTCCTTGCTATGTTCACTTTGAATTTACAATCCAGTTTTGAAATCCACCAGAAGAGATCCAAAAACTGGAGTACATCAGCTACTGATATTCTGAACAATCTTTTTAATGAGCACCAAACAATTTCAACACACTGACAACTGAGAAAGCCATTAATTCTATAGGTCATACTTATGCACCCAGAGGTCTAACTTCTTTACGTACCATCACTGTAAACCACCCCTTTAAAACTTCGTAAGTCCCATCTTGCAGACTGCTGAAGAGGAAACAACAGTGATTTACCTAAGGTCAGAAATGTCAGGATGAAACGGCAAGCTGTTGAATGCTATGCTTCTAGTTGAACTGTATTTCTTCCTCTTACACAACAATTAGAAAAGGATAATTTCACATTCTCTTTTTATCCCCCACTTAATCACACAATGATGCCAAGATTTACAAACAAACACAGGAAAGGCATCTGTTTTTGCAGATGTAGAAAAGACACTGCAATAGTGTAATGTGTTTCTTTCAGAAAACTGATACATTGCAAGTTTACATTTTCATTATTTATTGTTTTTAATAAATACTTTTCATATCATTTACATGAAAATAAATATAAAATTTAAGAAAACATTATTGACATTATACAGCTAAATAAAGTAAGAATTTATTCTAGAAAATGAGTGTCTGTAATATTAGTTATTGTAATAACTAATTTTCCTTTCAGGACATAGTTCTTCTGTCAGTCAAGCAATTGTGAAATAGATGGAACTGTGTCTTTGCAACTGAGGACAGATTCTGGCATACCAGTGAATTTAAAAGAAAACTGGACTTGGTTTGAATACCATACCTCAAAAAAAAATTCCGTTTTTTTCTGTTTGTGGTAATTGACTGATTAACTAAAGTACGACTCTATGTCTTCTATAAATAGAACATCATTATTAAGATACTCCAAAATTATATTTCCACCATTGTACAATGGATATTCTTCATCAGATAGCCATGTTTCCAATGTATGCTCAAATGGCAAGGCTTCTCCAGAGGCAGTATGGCATAATCTCAATTTCTGCAAGACAAATAGCACAGAAATTAACATCAAGATTTGCCTATCTGAGATGCAAGAAGTGGGGTGAGGGAGGGACAAAACGGTAAAAAAACCCCAAATCAAAACCCAACAACCTGGAAAATATTTGCTTTTATTACTGATTTACCTGGGCTGTTGATTTGTTGTTGTCATTTTTAAGGCTTGCTAAGGAAGCTGCAAAATCTACTACTTTGCCAATACTCCACTTACTGCAAAAGAACATGGGCTTGCTTTTCTCTTTGCTCCCCTTTGGTAAAAATACTTGAAAGTAAATTCTTTCTGTCTAGGAAAACATGAAAAATGAACAAAAAATTACACACAGAAGAAACACATAATTCCAGTCATACAATCTAATAGTTTTTCAGTAAAAAACTTTAGCTTCAACCCAAAAATTACCAACTGAAACTTGTTCCTATTCCATCAGGACCAAGGCCCCATTTTATTGCAGAATATAAATGACTGAGATCACGAAGTCCAATCCCCTCCAGCTGCAGGCACATACATGATGGACAGCAAGTTCAGAAAGGTGGAGAGAAAATCTTTCAGCGGAGTCCCACAGGAGACTGTTATATATAGACAGACATGAAAAGTTGTCTGCCCCGGCTTTATTAGACAACAATGACTGCTCTGGGGAGAAAAAGGTGAGTTTAAATAAGCAGTGCTGGCATTTGGCAGCAGTACAATGTCTCAGATTGGAATGCAACGGGGGTTAGAACAGAAGAATTCACTGTACTAGAAATGCCTGCTTCACAAACCAACATTCCGGTCATGGCCAGCTGATCATTTATCCTATTTTTTTCTCCTTTTATGTACTAAATGCTCCTTCAGTATCTACTAAACTGAAACATTTATTTAAGAAATTTCAAGAGTAACCTATGAGGGAGAAGTTTTGAATGGAATTGAGACAATCCCCTCTTCAGGTTTATTTCTTCTTGGCACTCAACAGAAGACACAGAGCAAGCATGACTGGTCTATTCATCAGTTAAGAGTGGCCTTGCTGAGTCCAAGCCAGACACCATTAAACAAGACAGAAGTCTGATTTTGAAAAGATTTATTTATGCCTTCCCTGAAAAATATGGAACTACCCTTCCCCCAGCTATGCTCATAAAACCGAGTCTGAATTTCAACCTGTGCATTTTCCCCATAACTTGAGTGCTCTCCACACACAAGAAAATATTTAACATCCAGGAATATTACAAAGGACAAGGGAAGCAGGACCTGAATCTTGCTAAAAGGTAAATGACCACAACTTGTAAAACAGCTTACAGAATGGCCATCCTATTATGGATGCATGCTAATACCACTCAACTGCTATCACTACCCTGGCACCTTTCTACAGTTGCTCCTCCAGTTCGAAGGACGATGAGACAGTCTCCCACAGTTCACTGGACCTTAATTCACAACACAGTTAATTCTACTGTTGCATCCCTAACTATGGGATATGCCTCCTGGAATTTCTGTGCCATATCCAAGAAAATACCGGTCAGTCAGGGACACAATAACCTGATACTCTATTGCAGCATGGTCCTCCTGTTTTGAGCTGGTCAGTCTCAAGAGGGGTAACTCATATCAGGTCTGACACCAAAAGAAGCAATCATCTGCAGAAAGCTATTCTCAAGAAAGAGGTCAGAGAAAAGATATTTCTAAGATAGCCTGATTTTCCTGATGACAGAATAAGAAGGTCCAGAAGGACGTCTGGTGGTCCAAAACCACGTTGAAAGCAGCGACAACTTTAAAGCTAGACCTAACCATAAAAGTAGATCACGTTGCTCCAAGTCAGATTCAATCACGTTTTGAACAGCCCAAAGGTGTAGATTCCACAGATTTTCAAAGCAGCTTGTTCCAAAGTCTGACCACCCTCACTGTGATTTTTCTTCCCATTATCTAACTGGAATTTCACATGTTGCTGCTTGTGCCCATTGCCCCCTGTCCTTTTGCTGTGCACCTCCAAGAAAAATGTGTCAATCTTCTCTATACAGTGATGAGAGAACTGAGGTGCCTAAGAGGCATTCCAGAAACTTCACATTCAGAAGATCTGTCATCAAACTGGAACAAGCTGGGCACAAGAAGGCTAGAAGGAGTCTAGGAAGCAATTTAAACGGCGAGGTGGTGAAGGTTAACAGGCTTGATTTATCAGTGTTAGAATTATCGCTCTTCTAGATGATTAAACAATTAATATTCAAATGAGAAAATGAATAGTGGGAGAAATTAGCATACAGTAATTTGTGCTACATGTTTTAGAGCTTACTGGCTTTGGAATTAGGAAGCAACTTTTAACATTTTCTTATATATATTGAGGGTGGATTTTTTAAATTATGTTCTGCAATATTTGAAATGAATCACTTTCCCTCCAGCACATATTTATTAAAGTGGTACTATCTGTGAAGAATGCTACAATCAGGTGTCTGTATTATGACTTCTGCCTAAGCAGGGTTACCTAATTTCTACGCATGACAAAGTATAAAAAACAAAATTTATAAGAGGACTCAGTAATGGCATAGCTGTAGTTGTTTTAGAAAAAACAACTAAATGTACTCTACTAAGATAAGACCTAACGATAAGACTATCACATAGAATGTTTTCAGTACTATAAAATCAGTATAACAGGCCTAAACTTGGTGTGCCTCAACGTAACAGTGTGGTGAAAGGTAATTTAAATACAGTTCAAGAGGATCCATAAGTACAGCTCTAAAGTGAAATGGCAGACGAAAGACTCAAGGTGTTTCTAAATCAAACATAATGTTGGTGTGTGGAAAAAGGCTTGAACACCAGGTTTGACTGGCCACGGTAGTGAAAACCACTAAGGACTCTGTGAAATACTGCAAGAATCAAATAAACTAAAGGCCGAAAGAAACATAGACAACTCCCAAAACCCTTTTCCAACCCAAAGGCAGGAACAACTGACCTTAGGCCTTTAATACCTCATCCAGAAATGTACCAGATGTCTATTAAATCTGAGTAGCAGAAATAAGAATGGAGCTTGGCAGAACGCAGAGCTCAGTTTTCTGGTACAGGTTTGTTAAGCTGTGTCCTGTCTGTGTCAGAAGCCTCCCAGTACCCAGCATGAAAAGCATCCTTTGAGATGGGTTTGCTATGTGCGACTGATAATCCCGGCTCCTGACCCCTGGTAATACGGTTAGCAAACTTACACCACTTTATACGGTAAACGGCCATTCCCTGTGACCAAGCTGGTCACGTATCAGTCCCCTGTCCCCTCCTCCTGATGGCCCTCAAGGTCCTGAGCACCAGGCACACTTCTTCTCCCCTTCCCTATTGGCCTCACAGTCCCTGGCCACCAGGCCGACTATTCCCCTCCCCTCCTTGGTAGCCTTGAAGGTCCCAGGCACCCGGCCAGCGTGGTTGTTGTGACCCCATCACAGAGCAGGGAAGCCGAGCAACACACAGACCCCTGTCCATAAAATCAAGCAGTTACAAGCCCTAAGTGGGACCTGGACCAGAACTGCTGCTGGAACGCAAATCCCGTGATCCCACAGTGGCCAGGGACACCTCCACTGTCACCTGCTTCCCCAAGGACTGAGTGACTCATATCCTTTTACACGTTTCCAGTCCAGACGATGACTGCAATATGGATGCTGCAAGCCAAGTATTAAGATTTGACGTGATCTGCAGAGGGTCCAGGTGATCAGGAACCACAAGCTAAGCTGTGCTATAAAATTCTGTGCTACGTTACTTAAAAAAATTGTGCTACACTGATTCCGACTACAAAAATCCTATGCTACTCTGATTATAAAATTCTATGCTATGCTGATCATCAAAGTCTGGTAAAATAATAAAGCTTTAATTATAACTCAGTGTCATCATCATTCTGCCCAGGATCCCCAAAAGAACCTGTCCCCACAGTGTGGGGTGACAGAATAAATTGGCATAGTCAGCATAATCCTTGGGTCAGTGATGACTGACTTCCCCTATAAATGGGACTCTTGGAGAAAGGGGTTTACAGAAAATAGATGGTGAGATCCCAAGCAGGACAAGAAGTGGCTAGAGGCAATAAGCCATGATCCAAAAGCCATATGGAATCAGTTTAATAAATGGAAGGATACGCTGAAAGTGAAGAAGAACAGACACAAGGAAGGAATTTGCTGGCTATTAGCAGCAGTATGGAAAACCAAGAATGAACAAGTTGAAAGGTTAGAAAAGGAAATTATAAAGTTGAAAGTGAATTGTCAGCGAAGGATTTAGAATTAGTATAACCAAATTAAAGGCTGATCGCGAGTCTAGCATCTCTTGAAAAACAGTGCCACAAATTACAGAAAAAGCACGAAAAGATCACGAAAAACTGTTAAAACATAGCAATATAGACCCCATAAAGGTCTGTGTAGCTGTGTATGATAGCGACTGGGCTGGAGACATTTGGAGCAGCCCAGATGAAATCTGGTGAGGAAGTAATTGATTCTGTACCAGTACGACCCCTAACTAAACAAGAAATTACTACTGCTGACCCACAGGGGAACAATCTGCAGAGAAGGGATACTATTAATATTTGAGATTTTAATATGGATTATTTGCAAAAAATGCAGGCAACATACCAAAACCGACCTGAGCAATCAATAATTAAACAGTTGCACTGCCTCTGGCATGATAAATCAGCAAGAGTATCTCTCTTCGCAGGAGAGGCAAAAGACTTCGATTTAGGTCTTGGAATTTTTCTCACCCTCAGAGGGAGCGTCGCCTGAACCTTATGGACCTCAGCTATTCAGTGGGCAAGAGGGGTCCATTATCAAGACCAGAGCGAGGAACTTACAGTTCCTTGGCCAGGTCCAGATGAACTGGAGGAAGCATAATTACAAGCAGCTATTACAACCTTTTTGCATCGAGCTGAAACCCCAGGTGATGAACCTAGTCCTTGGATCTGATGGGAAAGGAGTTGCAGGGTCAAATAAATTAATGTTTATGCAAATATGCCAGGGTTTACCTGCGGAAATCCCTTTTTCACAAGTGCTCCGCAAATGCAAGAACCAAGCCCTGACCCTCCCACATGAAGGGAGCAGCACTGGGTCCTAACTCCCATGGTCCCACCTGGAGGTCGAACAAATGCCCAACACAGCCATCAGGCAAATTTAAATAAACAATATAATATAATATATAATCAGGAGACTTCCTAATCAAACTGAAAATGTGCAATCCGAGCAAAACAAGCGGTGGTGTGCCTGCATAAATCAGGGATACACCGGTGACTTCCTTCACGGTTTGCCTACTAAAAAACTACAATTTCTAGCGAAGGAAGGGGACAACGAGGAAAAGCTATCCACATCTCTACCTAGC